TCATTATGTTCAGACACTTGTAGCTGCATTACATGGACAGGATTAGAGCCTTTTGTTGTGCCCACATGCAGGTATACGTTTTTCCCCCTACAAGTCTATATATAAGCTTCCACCAAACACTAATGCTTTCATCTACTCTAGCTTCCATTATTGGTGCGTTGCCCGTTATATAGACATATAATAATGGAAACTACCACCCCTCTCGCCCACTCACTGAGGGACACTTCCTTCCTTCGTGTGGACAGATATAGAGCAGGGGATTCTGGGATGCCGCGGGGCGCCTCGCTGTTCAGGATTGCCGATGCCGGAGCCACGCTCCTTGACTATGACATCCATTAATGAGAAAGCAGTTGCCAAATGGGCAGTGAGCTGTCGTGTCTTCTTAATATCTTTTTCAGCAGTGGAATGAAAAGCGAGAGAGAGAGAGTCCAAAAATAGCGCGCGTCTGGAGTGGATTTTTAATGCCACCAATTCAGTTTTCGGACAATTGTAAGACTTCTTTTTCAGGTGTCCTGAGAATTCAAAGAGAAAGAGAGATGAAAAGCTGAACACCACTCTCGTGTCTAATTTTAAAGCCTCTGGGTGATTAGCTTAGCTTAGTTTAACTGAGCAGAAAGATGAGAAGCAGGGGGGAAGCAGCCAGCTTGGGCATGCTCAAAGGTAACAAACGCCCTACCAGCACCTCTGAATTTCACTTAATAATGTGTTATGTGTTATCATTTGTTTTAATCAGTACCCACATTCCAGTTTGAAATGTGCCGGCCGCTTGCCCATTTTCTAATCTTTATGTTAAGCTAAGCTAACTCTCTGATCCTTTTCTCTTACCATATGTTTAATGTCCTCCTGTGAGATTGGTTCAGTGCTTCAGAGCAGGAATGTCAAACTTATTTTATATCAAGGGGCCACGTACAGCCCACTTTGATCTCAGGTTGGACAAGAGGAGTGGAACTTGACTTTCTGTCAACGTACAGACATTTAACTACTAATTTAATCCCTGAGATATCTTAATATTGGATGAAGAAGTGTAATTTTAACAGCACATCTCAGCTTTTCTGCATAAAATTATAGAAGAAGTTCTGCTCACTAAGCAGAAAGTCATTCTATGGTTTATCTATTCTATCTTTGGTGTAGCAAATACAGGTACAAATTTATGCCATCCATTGTATTTTCCATTATAGCCATTGCTCGGCCAATTCTAGCCCCTGGGCCTTATGTTTGACACCCCTGCTTTTTAGCCTTTTTAACAGCGGCAAATTTCCCATGATGACATAGTGTTTCCCAAAACATAAACACACCTTGTTAAAATAAACAGTTGCAATTGTTGTTTCCCATGAAATCACTTTTTGTTCTCTAAAAAAAATACGACTGAAGTTTATTTCAGAGTATAAAATTGCAGAAACTGATAACACAGCCAGTCATTTTGGCAGTTTGATGCCGGAGCTGCTAAACACCGTTCTGCACTCTTGACTTTGGGGATGGAGGCTTACATCGTGCACAGAGCGCTGCGCTGACATTTATTGGATTGGAAAATGTCCCCGCAAAGATGAACTGTAAAGCTGGCGTATTAGAATTAAAATCTAATGGAAAGAAAGAGCTGCAGGTTGAGAAGTGAAAGCTGCCGTGTTTTGTTGCGCTGATGAAGGTCGCGCTTCATTATTTACAGCAGTTACAGTTACGTCCCTGCAGTCTTGCTTCTTGGCCTTGAGCACATGTAGAAGGCGTACAAAATGCATCAGCGCACATGTATTTTAAAAAAAAATCTTCTAGAGTTCAGTTCCTCAGCGAACAGAGTAGACTTCGGCAGATAAATAACTGTGACCTCAATCCTCGTCCGTCTGAAATATTTGCACCCGTGCTCTGCTGACGACTCAAGCCGAGTGCGTGCGTCATGTTAGACAAGTGAGAGGTCAACGCGGCTGTCATCCAAATATCACTGTCTGTCATATTCTCACCTCTTCTCTCGGCACATAAACACAAAAGGCGGCAGCAGATGCTTACCCAGGGCTGACGTGGGTGTCGAGGTTTTTAGGTTTAACCTCATTTTTACACAACAAATTCAAAAAAGCGTTGATCTCTCGGAATAGCTTCATTGTCTCCACTTGTCGTTCTTTGCTAATAACAGGGCGGTCTACTTGCTCTTTTGTCCTTTGCAGAAAGATTTCACGCCGATTTTTTTCATTTTCATTGATTGATAAGTATTTATGCAGTGTTCAACGATTTGAGTCACTTCTTAAATGTGCCGTGTTCTTGTTTTTCATTCCTGTGTTGGCGCTTTACGTCGGGGCAAAGTCTGTAAATCATCAGCCTCGAACTTTCTAAGAGTCTGATTGAGTCATGTACCCAGCATGCCACTGTGAAGGGTCGGCGTGAGAACGCGTAGTGTAATTCACACCAGTGTGTTTCCGCTCGGCTCACAAAGATTAGTGATGCTGAGTTGTTTTGAATCTCTGTAATCGGTTTTTTGCCCCTCTCGCTTTCTAATCGTCTCGTGTCACTTGGTTACCACTTTATGTTGTGATTTTATGGTCGTTTGCATCTGTAGTCTTTTTATGATTTTCTGGATCTCTGTACACGTCTGACGCCACTTTGCTGTTGTTGTTGTTGTTGTGCTCTCTTTGTGGTCATTTTGTCTCACTTGGTTGTCATTTTATGGCTGTTTTGCATCTTTTTGTGTAACTTTATGTTCACTTGCACGCTTTACTAATCATTTTGCCTACATATGCAATTATCTTGGATTTCTGTGCATTTTATTGCATTTTTTTGTTCTTTTGCATTTCTTTCTCATTTTTTGGTGTCACTTTTATGATTTTTTTGCATCTCTTTGTAGTCATTTCGAGTTTTTTTGGCTGTCTGGGCACATTTGGCTTCACTCTGTTGTTGTTTCGCCTCTTTGTAGTCATTCAGTGTAATTTTATGGCTGTTTTGCGCCTCATTTTAGTATTTTGTGCCACTTTAAATCTCAAGTGATACTTGAGGCTGTTTTGTTTGTTGAATCTATCAGTCATCAATAATCTTCCCCACCCCTACTGGCTAGTGGCAGACACCAAAAGATATTCCCACAGGTCAGGTGTCAATGCTGCGGTGGTTCAGAGCTGTTAAGGCGGAACGAGGAGGATCCGAGCATTAATTAGGCACACGGTTTTAGTCGTGATTGCTGATTGGTGTCTCTGTGTAATGATTATTTGCCAGTCATCTTGCGGCAGAATCCTCATGAATTAATGCGCTAAACAGATACCTGTTCATTTCAGAATTAATGAAGTGCAAAGTGCTCTCCATCGTGTGTGTGTGTGTGTGTTTTGTTGATTTGTCAGCTCAGCAGGTCAGGTACTTCATGCAGTACACCAATGTGTTGTGCAGTATTGATTTTGCCAACAAAACACTCGGTTCAGCTGTTGGCGAGGTAGTTTGGGATCCGCTTCGCAAACTTTCCTCAGCACAGAAACTCATCGGTAGAACCAGATTTTTTTTATTTATCCAGGAGGGCAGAATTTATATTCCTGTAGAAACCAGATTTGAATTCAGCCTCATCGCTCTGAATGCATCATCATGTGCCATGAGACTATATACGTGACAAACTCCGTACCGCCCTTTTCCTCAAAGCGGAGAGCGGTGTGATATTTCCATCTTTCGCTAAGACTGAACTCGCTCTGATTTTTCTGAACGTTCCTGTAATTGAGAAGCGCCTGCTGAAATTCTCTACAAGTCGCCCGAGCTTTGTTTTCAGAGTGGGAGTGGGAAGTTGGGGCAGGCGGGAGAAAGAACATTTTCCCTTTTTATAAAGTCAAAAGGACTCAAATGGCTCGGATTTCACAGTTTTGATCTGTTTTCAATTACTCGGCCGGGCCGCGTACAGAAGAAAATGCTGAACAACTGAAATCTATGGAGGCAGTAGGTGTGGAGCGAGAGTGGGAGAGGGGAGGAAAAAGCAGAGGAATTGGAATGAGAGACAAGGGGAAATGAAAAGAAAGAGGAGGACGAGTCCAGGGAGAGTGCAGAGTCCCAGAGAAACAATTGGATTAGACAAAGAGAGAGAAAGAGAGCTGTGCAGAGAGTCTTTGATAAATTGGCTGTTTATTTAGCTTTCGCTGTGAATGAGGCAGGGTGCAATGATGTGCTGTCTCCCCTGCATCCCTCGCTACGAGGTCGGGTTTTTTGGCCCGAGCGCCCAGCGTGTTAAGGAGGTGCAATTGGCCATTCATTGCCAAAGGGTGGGACATCTTTCTGAGTCCTAATGGCTTTTGCAGCTGTGTCTCTCCCCGGCTCCCTCTGTCATCAAGTTTCATCCAACATCAAAAAGACACACCTTCCACTCCCCCCC